TGTGTGTGTGCATTTTTTATGTATTGTGTCTGTGTGTTATTCCCACCTCCCTCAAGAATCTAGTCCTCTGTGTTGGAAACAATAAACAATAGCTATACTATCCCTTCAAAGCACCAGCCCCTCACTGACCCACCACAGGGAGTGCAGGTGGTGGGTCCGTGGGGGGAGTGTCTTGCCCAAGGACACAACAACAGCAGTCATCAGTGGGAGTAAAATGGAGTGATAATAACTTTTATATATAGCACTTTTTTGGACACTCAAAGACACATGTCGTCATTCATTCACTCCATACACAGCGTTATAGACTGCAACTGTAGCCACATCTGCCCTGGGGCACAACGGCAGAAGCGAGGCAACCTGTATGTGCCATCGGCCCCTCCCACCACCACCAACCATTCACACACACACCAGACTCATTCTAATGTGGGTGAAGTGTCTTGCCCAAGGACACAACAGCAGTTTGGCACTTTACAGCCGCAGCCGCCCCACTGTAGCCTGGTCGTACCACACCACAGTACAAATTACATTTCGTACTAAGGTCTGGATTTGCTCCGTTGTGCTCCGTTAACAGGTGGGTGGGGTTAACTCCTTTTGCAGATTGAAACGGTTGGATCTGAGTTTACCGTGACGTATGTAATGCGCCCGAGTGAGCTGTTAGCATTTAGCATTTAGCCTAGCTTTAGCCATCTCCTTTGCCGCTAACGGAGCCCATGGGGAATAGTGCCACAATCTTTGCCAGCGATTACATTCGCTAAACATTCCCCTTGCTCCGGCTTCAATTTCTTGACAGGACCAGACTGGATTACTTTACTATCACTTCCTTCGCCATTGCCAAACTACAACCTTCCAGTTGGACGCAAACTCTTGACATCACCCACAACTAACTACAACACCCGCCTCCCGCGCTCGCTGAATGGTCGGATGGAATTCAACCGGTTGTAATCGCAAGCACAGGGACCAGACCCAGACGTTATATGCAGGAAATGATAATTGAGAGGAGTGTACGGTGGGCTTAGTCCAGGCTGGCCCCACTGTAGCGCCTTGGGTTCCCAGAGGTCTCCCATCACAGTACTCACCAGGTCTTGCCCTATTTAGCTTAAGAGGTCTGACAGGGGATCAAACTCACAGATCAAAGTCCTTGTCGCCCATACAAATCGATTAGAATCAACATTAAGATAAGATTCAGCTGTTTTTTCCATTCGCAGTGAGGAACATGTTGCAGATGATATCATTAGTGAGTCTGAGCAGAAGGGTCGGGGGTTCACTGCTGAATGAGCTCGGGGTCGGGACAGACGCTCCGATAGAGAATTAAACCGGTGACAGTGAGATTGTAATGAGCGGTCGGTAATAGTCTCCGTGGCCTCTGTGCGCCGGCGGCTGTAGATCCACCGCTGCTCTGTGTCTATAGGGTCTGTCTCTTATTGCCCACCGGAGAATACGCTACAGATTCTGCTCATTACACCATCAATCTATGCTTTTATACCATATGGAACAAGCTCATAACAGCAGCGATGGTACTGGGATGCAGGTCTTAAAGATGCAGTGTACTCGGACGAGAGAGAGACCGGAGAGAGACAAGAGAGAGACAAGAGAGAGAGACCAGAGAGAGACAAGAGAGAGACCAGAGAGAGACCAGAGAGAGACCAGAGAGAGACCAGAGAGAGACCAGAGAGAGACCAGAGAGAGACCAGAGAGAGACCAGAGAGAGACCAGAGAGAGACCAGAGAGAGACCAGAGAGAGAGACCAGAGAGAGACCAGAGAGAGACCAGAGAGAGACAAGAGAGAGACCAGAGAGAGACCAGAGAGAGACCAGAGAGAGAGACCAGAGAGAGACCAGAGAGAGACCAGAGAGAGACCAGAGAGAGACCAGAGAGAGACCAGAGAGAGACCAGAGAGAGACCAGAGAGAGACAAGAGAGAGACCAGAGAGAGACCAGAGAGAGACCAGAGAGAGACCAGAGAGAGACCACCAGAGAGAGACCAGAGAGAGAGACCAGAGAGAGACCGGAGAGAGACAAGAGAGAGACAAGAGAGAGACCAGAGAGAGACCAGAGAGAGACCAGAGAGAGACCAGAGAGAGACCAGAGAGAGACCAGAGAGAGACCAGAGAGAGACCAGAGAGAGAGACCAGAGAGAGACCAGAGAGAGACAAGAGAGAGACCAGAGAGAGACCAGAGAGAGACCAGAGAGAGAGACCAGAGAGAGACCAGAGAGAGACCAGAGAGAGACCAGAGAGAGACCAGAGAGAGACAAGAGAGAGACAAGAGAGAGACAAGAGAGAGACAAGAGAGAGACCAGAGAGAGACCAGAGAGAGACCAGAGAGAGACCAGAGAGAGACAAGAGAGAGACCAGAGAGAGACCAGAGAGAGACCAGAGAGAGACCAGAGAGAGAGACCAGAGAGAGACCAGAGCAAGACAAGACAGGCACCAGAGGCCGAAGAGAAACCAAATAGAGAGACAAGAGAGATAGAATTTTGAGGTGAAAATGGAGCACCCAGATGAAACCCACACATACACAGGGAGAACATGCAAACCCAACACAATTGATAGAAGACAACCACAATGTCGGATTTCCATGTATCTTTTCTTTTTTAAATTTACTGATTATTGAGGATAATTATCGCCTTGTTTCTTGTTTCCTGTTTGGTTCAGCACTTTGCGTTATACAAATAAACTGTGGTGGTGTTTGGAATGAAGACCCGCAGAGGCGTTGTCGAGGGAAACCGCTCTGGATCAATGCGTCCCCTGTGCCTGATAACATTAGCTGCTCCTTAATGACACTAATGAAGAGCCCGGAACGAGATAAACGCTGTCCAGAGACTGTGGGAAGACCAGGACTGGACCAGGACGGGACAAGGACTGGACCAGGACTGGACTGGGACTCGACCAGGAATACACCAGGACTAATCCAAGACTAAACCTGGACTGGACCAGGAATGAACCCAGACTAATCCAGGACTAAACCAGGATTAAACCAGGACTAAACCAGGACTAAACCAGGACTAAACCAGGACTAAACCAGGATTAAACCAGGACTAAACCAGGACTAAACCAGGATTAAACCAGGACTAAACCAGGACTAAACCAGGACTCGCTGTAGACCTGTGTTGTAATGACGTATCAGCCCAAGACAACAGTGGGGAAAGGTTGGTGTGCAGTTTGGACCTGTGTCAACTTTTAACCACAGAAAAGGCAGGAATGTATCACAATAAATTGGTCAAAACCAACTTTAAATTTTCAAAATCAGTCTTTTAAAGTCACAGCCCAACGCACCCAGTGACCAGAGAGACCAGAGAGAGACCAGAGAGAGAGACCCGTGAGAGACCACAGAGAGAGACCAGTGAGAGACCAGAGAGAGACAACAGAAAGACCAGAGATAGAGGTACTGGAGGGACAAGAAAGAGAGAGACCGGAGAGTGACCAAAGAGAGAGACCAAATAGAGAGACAGGAGAAAGGGATCAGAGGGAAAGAGACCAGGGAGAGAGTCCTGAGAGTGAGAACAGAGAGAGAAACCAGAAACAGACCAGATAAAGAGAACAGAGAGAGAGACCAAATAGAAAGACAGGAGAAAGGGATCAGAGAGAAAGAGAACGGGGAGAGAGTTCTGAAAGAGAGACCAGAGAGAGACCAGAGATAGGGATACCAGACAAGAAAGAGAGAGACCGGAGAGCGAACAGAGACACACCAGAGAGAGAGACCAGAGAGACACCAGGGAGAGAGACTAGAGAGAGACCAGGGAGAGAGACCAGGGAGAGAGACTAGAGAGAGAAAGCAAAGAGAGACCACTTTATAATGAATTACAGCAATTTTATTATCCACATGAAGCAATAAAAACATTTTCAAACATATTTTTCTTTGGGACAACTGAATAATGGATCTGCCCAAACTCTGACGGCGAGAGCTTCACTCACCCAAACACGGCTCCACGGCTCGTTACGCTGTCGTTACACGTTCTTTTAAAACCCTCCTCACACACACACACACACACACACACACACACACACACACACACACACACACACACACACACACACACACACACACACACACACACACACACACACACACACACACACACGGGTCTCATTTGGGATCTTTTTGTTGTTACGCTTTGACGATTATTGATATTTCATCCACACCATAGATCTTTCGGTCAATTTTAAACATACATTTTTTCTTATTTTGACCCAGAACTCTCAGTGGGATTATTTAGAAAGACCTTAAGGCAAAATGTCATGGTTCTCACTGTGTAAACATATTCTCAGATGTTTTTGTCCGACCTAATATTTCTCTGCTTTGAAGGCAGTGGTCGTGTTTGGCTTCGGCTCCAAGTAGGATTTTGTACCACATCGGCACAGTTTTGGAGTTTTTGCTTGGAATTTGAGACACACACAAAAATGCATTGAAAATAGTGACAAGTACAATTATATATGAACGACTAAACTCATCAAAAACTCCTGCAAGCAAGTCATTTTCAGAGCTTCTAAAAATACATGGAGAACGTGAAATCTCATAAGTGACGCTGTAAACGTAAGAAACTGCCTCTGATTTTACGTCAAAAAGTGACTAAATAGGTCAAAAAAACGACTTGGAATTTGGAAAAAATGTATAATAATTTGAATACATTTTGGACTTTAAGAGCAGGTTTTTCTCCAATGTGTAGTTCTAAAAAAGTATTATTCTCAACCTTCATAATAACTTTCGGCAATTTTTAAACCACAAAAAAATCAAGTTTTAACTGTAAACTACAGCCAATATCGCCACAAAAAGTCACCCAAAAATAGGTTTAAAAAATGGCTTTGAATTTGATAAAAGTCTGTGATGAAAATACAAGTACATTTTCAGCACTTGAAATGAGACTCAACTTTTGGCAATTTTAGTTTTCAGACAAAAGAAAAGAATGGGTAAAAAATCTAGAAATGATTGCCATATTTTTGTGATCTATCTACTCTCTTTCTGCTCATGTGCAAATGATTCTGCAGAAGAGGAAAGGCAAATTCAGATGTGAGAAATACCTTTAGCGTTGTCAAGTACTCGAAGCGACGATGATGAGGAGGAGGTGGAGGAGGAGGAGGAAGCAGAGTCTGGGTCGACCGTGGAGCTCTGATGCTGCTTCGAGACAGTCTCCTCTGCTATACCTCCATCCCTCCCTCTCTCTCCTCCCGCACTCGGAGCTCCTCCCACCTCTGAGAGAGTGGGGGAGAAGGAGGAGGAGGGGCTCGTGTAGCTGTGAAACCCTCTAATGGGGGAGAGAGGGGGAGGAGGGGGGAGAGGGAGCAAGGACGAAGATGACTTAAAGGAGACATGTGTTTGTGAATAGAAAAAGCAGAGAGAAACCAGTGAGAGAGAGACTAGTAAGGAACCAGAGAGAGAGAGAGAGACCAGACACACCATAGAGAAAGCAGAGAGAGAGAGAGAGAGAGACAGACCAGGGAGAGACCAAAGAGAGACCAGGGAGTGACCAGAGACAGAGACCAGAGAGGGACCAGAGCGAGAGAGACCAGAGAGAGAGACCAGAGAGAGACCAGAGAGAGACCAGGGAGTGACCAGTGAGATCATAGAGAGAGCAGAGAGAGAGAGACAGAACAGAGAGCGACTATAGAGAGGGACCAGAGAGACCATTGAGAGAGACAGAGACACCAGAGAAAGACTAGAGAGGGACCTGAAAGAGAGACTACCAGAGGAACCAGTGAGACTATAGAGAAGGCAGAGAGAGAGAGAGAGAGAGAGAGACCAGAGTGAGACCATAGAGAGAGCAGAGAGAGAGACAGACCAGAGAGAGACTGGAGAGGGACCAGAGGGAGAGACCAGAGCGAGACCAGGGAAAGACCAGAGAGAGAGAGGGACCAGAGAGACCATAGAGAAAGCAGAGAGAGAGAGAGAGACAGACCAGAGAGAGACCAGAGAGAAACCATTGAGAGAGCAGAGAGAGAGCAGAGCGAGACCAGGAGTGTGCTCTCACGTCTTGTATGAGTTGGATTTATGCAGAGCGTTCAGAAGACTCCTCGCCTCCTTCTCACGCGTGCTGCGCCACAGCATTAAAATTTACATTGATCAACTGTGGCCCATAAGTCATCTGTGCTCTGGTGTCTCCGGCTCAGGAGGCTCCATCGCCGTGACGACCGAGATAATTATTTCAGCCGTATACGACGGGTTTTAGCTGCTGCAGAACGGAAACTTTCCAGAGACCGGTGTGCGGCCTGCGGAACACAACCAGGGTCTTTCTTTATCAAAATATTATGACATTAACCAAAAAATCAAAAGAACAATTATTTATTAAAATTGTGTGTTTTTGGTGAGTAATCAGACAAGTCCAAACTCAGGCCCGTGTATGCTGGCCCTCTAACTCACAGTGTCATCCAGCCAACTTCAGCTCTATTATCGCAAAGCTGAGAGAGACAGACCAGAGAGACCATAGAGAGAGACAGAGACACCAGAGAAAGACTAGAGAGGGACCTGAGAGAGAGACTAGAGTGAGACCAGAGGAACCAGAGAGACCATGGAGAGAGCAGAGAGAGAGAGAGACCAGAGTGAGACCAGAGGAACCAGTGAGACCATGGAGAGAGCAGAGAGAGAGAGAGACCAGAGTGAGACCAGAGGAACCAGTGAGACCATGGAGAGAGCAGAGAGAGACCAGAGTGAGACCAGAGGAACCAGTGAGACCATAGAGAGAGACCAGAGTGAGACCAGAGGAACCAGTGAGACCATAGAGAGAGACTAGAGTGAAACCAGAGGAACCAGTGAGACCATGGAGAGAGCAGAGAGAGAGCGAGACTAGAGTGAGACCAGAGGAACCAGTGAGACCATAGAGAGGGCAGAGAGAGACCAGAGAGAGACACACTTTATTATTCAGTGTAATTAACTATCATTTGTTTTGACCGTATCACATAATTCTGTCTATTTGTCATTAAGCCAACTTCAGCTCCATTTTCAGAGCTCAGACCAGCCTGACTTCTGACAAAACAGTTTTACAATCCGTGTTGTTGTCGGTCCCTGGACATTTTCTGACATATCCTTACTGAATAGTTTGGACACCCCTGCACAACAAAAATGACACACAGGACTCTGGGGACAATGATTTCAAGATTACATTCATTGTTGCTGTCCAGAACTATGGACGCAAGAAGGTCCGGGGTTCGAATCCAGTGTCACCAGGTGCTCTGGTTTCTCCTACCACTAAAAACATGTACAATAGGTCTGGCATGTGGGGAGTGAGGCTGTAGACCCAGGACTGAGGCTGTAGACCCAGGACTGAAGCTGTAGACCCAGGACTGAGGCTGTAGACCCAGGATTGAGGCTGTAGACCCAGGACTGAGGCTGTAGACCCAGGATTGAGGCTGTAGACCCAGGACTGAGGCTGTAGACCCAGGACTGAGGCTGTAGACCCAGGACTGAGGCTGTAGACCCAGGACTGAGGCTGTAGACCCAGGATTGAGGCTGTAGACCCAGGACTGAGGCTGTAGACCCAGGACTGAGGCTGTAGACCCAGGACTGAGGCTGTAGACCCAGGACTGAGGCTGTAGACCCAGGACTGAGGCTGTAGACCCAGGACTGAGGCTGTAGACCCAGGAGTGAGGCTGTAGACCCAGGACTGAGGCTGTAGACCCAGGACTGAGGCTGTAGACCCAGGATTGAGGCTGTAGACCCAGGACTGAGGCTGTAGACCCAGGACTGAGGCTGTAGACCCAGGACTGAGGCTGTAGACCCAGGACTGAGGCTGTAGACCCAGGACTGAGGCTGTAGACCCAGGACTGAGGCTGTAGACCCAGGATTGAGGCTGTAGACCCAGGACTGAGGCTGTAGACCCAGGATTGAGGCTGTAGACCCAGGACTGAGGCTGTAGACCCAGGACTGAGGCTGTAGACCCAGGATTGAGGCTGTAGACCCAGGACTGAGGCTGTAGACCCAGGACTGAGGCTGGAGACCCAGGATTGAGGCTGTAGACCCAGGACTGAGGCTGTAGACCCAGGATTGAGGCTGTAGACCCAGGACTGAGGCTGTAGACCCAGGATTGAGGCTGTAGACCCAGGACTGAGGCTGTAGACCCAGGATTGAGGCTGTAGACCCAGGACTGAGGCTGTAGACCCAGGACTGAGGCTGTAGAACCAGGATTGAGGCTGTAGACCCAGGACTGAGGCTGTAGACCCAGGATTGAGGCTGTAGACCCAGGACTGAGGCTGTAGACCCAGGATTGAGGCTGTAGACCCAGGACTGAGGCTGTAGACCCAGGACTGAGGCTGGAGACCCAGGATTGAGGCTGTAGACCTAGGACTGAGGCTGTAGACCCAGGATTGAGGCTGTAGACCCAGGACTGAGGCTGTAGACCCAGGATTGAGGCTGTAGACCCAGGACTGAGGCTGTAGACCCAGGATCAAATACCAGATCATGTTTGTTTTAACGGCAGCCAGACCCCTATCTCCCGCTCCCCCCCACCCCCCGCCCCCCATGCCCCACGCCGCCCCCACCTGCTCAGGCCTAATGGTGCGTACAGCTCTCTGAAAGATCCACATTTTTTCACACTTCTGAGAACAAACGCCGGGTCTGTGTTTGAACCTGAGCCAGAGGTGGAGACCCGGATCGGAAATGGTCAGGGGCCTGGGACTGCAGGGTCAGGTCCTAGGACCGGGTCTGACGTGGTCTGAGTGACGGACAGACAGGCAGAATGTAGCACCAGCTCGAAAGACAAACTTATAAATGCAGGAGTGACAGGTGTAGACACACAGAACTGGGGAAGTGGCAAAGACGTGATGCACACAGCAAAAAAGGAAGTAAAACTAGGTTGAAAATGGCTCAAATGTAGCTAAACATGCACATTTTGACTGCCTTAAAAGGTTCACTGTGTCGTTTTTAGGCTAATCTAGCATTGAGAGAATATTTTGTAATTTACGGTACAACGGTAGCTTCACAGGACAATATGTGTTCTGTGACAGTTATCAACCACTGTATTTCAAGATGCTGCATAGACATGTAGAGTCCTCCAGCCTCATAAGTCAATTTCAAAGCCTATGACAACAATTCAAAAACATGGTGGAGGTAAATATTCTATAAAAAGGTCACATTTGTTATTGATTAAACACGCTGTTTCAATTGGAGCAACTGTATAAATTACACTGTATCTTTAAAACAAGATTCAAGCAGTTACTACCATGTATTTTAGAAATCTTTTGCGGTGTACTGTAGGACCACTGTCCAGAAATGGGAATACATGTCCAGAAGAAACAAACAAAAAAAACCCGGTTGGAAAATTATGAAAACTACAAATAAAAAGAAAATAGATAGTGGAATATTTTTAGGTCCTATCTGAAAAAAAACCCAGGACTGAGGCTGTAGACCCAGGATTGAGGCTGTAGACCCAGGACTGAGGCTGTAGACCCAGGACTGAGGCTGTAGACCCAGGATTGAGGCTGTAGACCCAGGACTGAGGCTGTAGACCCAGGACTGAAGCTGTAGACCCAGGATTGAGGCTGTAGGATCCAGGACGGAGACTGTGGATCTAGTCCCAGGATTTTTCCCGACGCAATAAAAAGCTTCCAAGAAGGAAATGCATAATTTTGATAATATTCTAACGTTGAAAAGCTGTTCTGTTACAACTAGGAATAGATTCAAATAAATGAATTCGCCCAAATGTAGCAGAAATTCTGTCTCCCCACAAACATTCTCCTTTTTTTACTGCTTGAATCTATTCGTTTGTGTCCTCCTCCTGTCTCTGCAGGTTTCCTCCAGGTGCTCCGGGTTGTCTCCTACCACAAAAAAACATGTACAGTAGCTCCCCTCTCTCCGGGGCTTGGACTTAGATTCTGAGGTGGGACTTTCCTGGTTAAAAAAAGGTCAATAAGTATAAAATAAAACAAGGAAATCAAGCTAACCTTGACAACGCTGCTAAAAACAACACAGATATGAATATATGAGTGATTTTGAATCCTGGACTAAAGCATTCCGTGTGTCTGTGGCGGTGTCTGTGGCGGTGTCTGTGGCGGTGTCTGTGGCGGTGTCTGTGGCGGTGTTTGTGGCGGTGTCTGTGGCGGTGTCTGTGGCGGTGTCTGTGGCGGTGTTTGTGGCGGTGTTTGTGGCGGTGTTTTTGGCGGTGTCTGTGGCGGTGTCTGTGGCGGTGTCTGTGGCGGTGTCTGTGGGGGTGTCTGTGGCGGTGTCTGTGGCGGTGTCTGTGGCGGTGTCTGTGGCGGTGTTTGTGCCGGTGTTTGTGGCGGTATCTGTGGCGGTGTCTGTGGCGGTGTTTGTGGCGGTGTTTGTGGCGGTGTTTGTGGCGATGTCTGTGGCGGTGTCTGTAGCGGTGTTTGTGGCGGTGATGTGGCGATGTTTGTGGCGGTGTCTGTGGCGGTGTCTGTGGCGGTGTCTGTGGCGGTGATGTGGCGATGTTTGTGGCGGTGTTTGTGGCGGTGTCTGTGGCGGTGTCTGTGGCGGTGTTTGTGGCGGTGTCTGTGGCGATGTCTGTGGCGGTGTTTGTGGCGGTGTCTGTGGCGATGTCTGTGGCGGTGTCTGTGGCGGTGTCTGTGGCGGTGATGTGGCGGTGTTTGTGGCGGTGTCTGTGGCGGTGTCTGTGGCGGTGTCTGTGGCGGTGTTTGTGGCGGTGATGTGGCGGTGTTTGTGGCGGTGTCTGTGGCGGTGTCTGTGGCGGTGTTTGTGGCGGTGTCTGTGGCGGTGTCTCTGGCGGTGTCTGTGGGGGTGTCTGTGGCGGTGTCTGTGGCGGTGTCTGTGGCGGTGTTTGTGCCGGTGTTTGTGGCGGTGTCTGTGGCGGTGTTTGTGGCGGTGTCTGTGGCGGTGTCTGTGGCGGTGTCTGTGGCGGTGTTTGTGGCGGTGTTTGTGGCGGTGTTTTTTGGCGGTGTCTGTGGCGGTGTCTGTGGCGGTGTCTGTGGCGGTGTCTGTGGGGGTGTCTGTGGCGGTGTCTGTGGCGGTGTCTGTGGCGGTGTCTGTGGCGGTGTTTGTGCCGGTGTTTGTGGCGGTATCTGTGGCGGTGTCTGTGGCGGTGTCTGTGGCGGTGTTTGTGGCGGTGTTTGTGGCGGTGTTTGTGGCGATGTCTGTGGCGGTGTCTGTGGCGGTGTTTGTGGCGGTGATGTGGCGATGTTTGTGGCGGTGTCTGTGGCGGTGTCTGTGGCGGTGTCTGTGGCGGTGTCTGTGGCGGTGTCTGTGGCGGTGATGTGGCGATGTTTGTGGCGGTGTTTGTGGCGGTGTCTGTGGCGGTGTCTGTGGCGGTGTTTGTGGCGGTGTCTGTGGCGATGTCTGTGGCGGTGTTTGTGGCGGTGTCTGTGGCGATGTCTGTGGCGGTGTCTGTGGCGGTGTCTGTGGCGGTGATGTGGCGGTGTTTGTGGCGGTGTCTGTGGCGGTGTCTGTGGCGGTGTCTGTGGCGGTGTTTGTGGCGGTGATGTGGCGGTGTTTGTGGCGGTGATGTGGCGGTGTCTGTGGCGGTGTCTGTGGCGGTGTTTGTGGCGGTGTCTGTGGCGGTGTCTCTGGCGGTGTCTGTGGGGGTGTCTCTGGCGGTGTCTGTGGCGGTGTCTGTGGCGGTGTTTGTGCCGGTGTTTGTGGCGGTGTCTGTGGCGGTGTCTGTGGCGGTGTTTGTGGCGGTGTTTGTGGCGGTGTTTGTGGCGATGTCTGTGGCGGTGTCTGTGGCGGTGTTTGTGGCGGTGTCTGTGGCGGTGTCTGTGGCGATGTTTGTGGCGGTGTTTGTGGCGGTGTCTGTGGCGGTGTCTGTGGCGGTGTCTGTGGCGGTGTCTGTGGCGGTGTCTGTGGCGATGTTTGTGGCGGTGTTTGTGGCGGTGTCTGTGGCGGTGTCTGTGGCGGTGTTTGTGGCGGTGTCTGTGGCGATGTCTGTGGCGGTGTTTGTGGCGGTGTCTGTGGCGATGTCTGTGGCGGTGTCTGTGGCGGTGTCTGTGGCGGTGATGTGGCGGTGTTTGTGGCGGTGTCTGTGGCGGTGTCTGTGGCGGTGTCTGTGGCGGTGTCTGTGGCGGTGTCTGTGGCGGTGTCTGTGGCGGTCTTTGTGGTGGTGATGTGGCGGTGTTTGTGGCGGTGATGTGGCGGTGTCTGTGGCGGTGTCTGTGGCGGTGTTTGTGGCGGTGTCTGTGGCGGTGTCTCTGCCGGTGTCTGTGGGGGTGTCTGTGGCGGTGTCTGTGGCGGTGTCTGTGGCGGTGTCTGTGGCGGTGTTTGTGGCGGTGTTTGTGGCGGTGTTTGTGGAGATGTCTGTGGCGGTGTCTGTGGCGGTGTTTGTGGCGGTGATGTGGCGGTGTCTGTGGCGGTGATGTGGCAATGTTTGTGGCGGTGTTTGTGGCGGTGTCTGTGGCGGTGTTTGTGGCGGTGTCTGTGGCAATGTCTGTGGCGGTGTTTGTGGCGGTGTCTGTGGCGATGTCTGTGGCGGTGTCTGTGGCGGTGTCTGTGGCGGTGGTGTGGCGATGTTTGTGGCGGTGTTTGTGGCGGTGTTTGTGGCGATGTCTGTGGCGGTGTCTGTGGCGGTGTTTGTGGCGGTGATGTGGCGGTGTCTGTGGCGGTGATGTGGCGGTGATGTGGCGATGTTTGTGGCGGTGTCTGTGGCGGTGTCTGTGGCGGTGTCTGTGGCGGTGTCTGTGGCGGTGTTTGTGGCGGTGTTTGTGGCGGTGTTTGTGGCGGTGTCTGTGGCGGTGTCTGTGGCGGTGTTTGTGCCGGTGTTTGTGGCGGTATCTGTGGCGGTGTCTGTGGCGGTGTTTGTGGCGGTGTTTGTGGCGGTGTTTGTGGCGATGTCTGTGGCGGTGTCTGTAGCGGTGTTTGTGGCGGTGATGTGGCGATGTTTGTGGCGGTGTCTGTGGCGGTGTCTGTGGCGGTGTCTGTGGCAGTGATGTGGCGATGTTTGTGGCGGTGTTTGTGGCGGTGTCTGTGGCGGTGTCTGTGGCGGTGTTTGTGGCGGTGTCTGTGGCGATGTCTGTGGCGGTGTTTGTGGCGGTGTCTGTGGCGATGTCTGTGGCGGTGTCTGTGGCGGTGTCTGTGGCGGTGATGTGGCGGTGTTTGTGGCGGTGTCTGTGGCGGTGTCTGTGGCGGTGTCTGTGGCGGTGTTTGTGGCGGTGATGTGGCGGTGTTTGTGGCGGTGTCTGTGGCGGTGTCTGTGGCGGTGTTTGTGGCGGTGTCTGTGGCGGTGTCTCTGGCGGTGTCTGTGGGGGTGTCTGTGGCGGTGTCTGTGGCGGTGTCTGTGGCGGTGTGCGTGTGTGCCGGTGTTTGTGGCGGTGTCTGTGGCGGTGTTTGTGGCGGTGTCTGTGGCGGTGTCTGTGGCGGTGTCTGTGGCGGTGTTTGTGGCGGTGTTTTGGCGGTGTTTTTGGCGGTGTCTGTGGCGGTGTCTGTGGCGGTGTCTGTGGCGGTGTCTGTGGGGGTGTCTGTGGCGGTGTCTGTGGCGGTGTCTGTGGCGGTGTTTGTGCCGGTGTTTGTGGCGGTATCTGTGGCGGTGTCTGTGGCGGTGTCTGTGGCGGTGTTTGTGGCGGTGTTTGTGGCGGTGTTTGTGGCGATGTCTGTGGCGGTGTCTGTGGCGGTGTTTGTGGCGGTGATGTGGCGATGTTTGTGGCGGTGTCTGTGGCGGTGTCTGTGGCGGTGTCTGTGGCGGTGTCTGTGGCGGTGTCTGTGGCGGTGATGTGGCGATGTTTGTGGCGGTGTTTGTGGCGGTGTCTGTGGCGGTGTCTGTGGCGGTGTCTGTGGCGGTGTTTGTGGCGGTGTCTGTGGCGATGTCTGTGGCGGTGTTTGTGGCGGTGTCTGTGGCGATGTCTGTGGCGGTGTCTGTGGCGGTGTCTGTGGCGGTGATGTGGCGGTGTTTGTGGCGGTGTCTGTGGCGGTGTCTGTGGCGGTGTCTGTGGCGGTGTCTGTGGCGGTGTTTGTGGCGGTGATGTGGCGGTGTTTGTGGCGGTGATGTGGCGGTGTCTGTGGCGGTGTCTGTGGCGGTGTTTGTGGCGGTGTCTGTGGCGGTGTCTCTGGCGGTGTCTGTGGGGGTGTCTCTGGCGGTGTCTGTGGCGGTGTCTGTGGCGGTGTTTGTGCCGGTGTTTGTGGCGGTGTCTGTGGCGGTGTCTGTGGCGGTGTCTGTGGCGGTGTTTGTGGCGGTGTTTGTGGCGGTGTTTGTGGCGATGTCTGTGGCGGTGTCTGTGGCGGTGTTTGTGGCGGTGTCTGTGGCGGTGTCTGTGGCGATGTTTGTGGCGGTGTTTGTGGCGGTGTCTGTGGCGGTGTCTGTGGCGGTGTCTGTGGCGGTGTCTGTGGCGGTGTCTGTGGCGATGTTTGTGGCGGTGTTTGTGGCGGTGTCTGTGGCGGTGTCTGTGGCGGTGTTTGTGGCGGTGTCTGTGGCGATGTCTGTGGCGGTGTTTGTGGCGGTGTCTGTGGCGATGTCTGTGGCGGTGTCTGTGGCAGTGTCTGTGGCGGTGATGTGGCGGTGTTTGTGGCGGTGTCTGTGGCGGTGTCTGTGGCGGTGTCTGTGGCGGTGTCTGTGGCGGTGTCTGTGGCGGTGTCTGTGGCGGTCTTTGTGGTGGTGATGTGGCGGTGTTTGTGGCGGTGATGTGGCGGTGTCTGTGGCGGTGTCTGTGGCGGTGTTTGTGGCGGTGTCTGTGGCGGTGTCTCTGCCGGTGTCTGTGGGGGTGTCTGTGGCGGTGTCTGTGGCGGTGTCTGTGGCGGTGTCTGTGGCGGTGTTTGTGGCGGTGTTTGTGGCGGTGTTTGTGGAGATGTCTGTGGCGGTGTCTGTGGCGGTGTTTGTGGCGGTGATGTGGCGGTGTCTGTGGCGGTGATGTGGCGATGTTTGTGGCGGTGTTTGTGGCGGTGTCTGTGGCGGTGTTTGTGGCGGTGTCTGTGGCAATGTCTGTGGCGGTGTTTGTGGCGGTGTCTGTGGCGATGTCTGTGGCGGTGTCTGTGGCGGTGTCTGTGGCGGTGGTGTGGCGATGTTTGTGGCGGTGTTTGTGGCGGTGTTTGTGGCGATGTCTGTGGCGGTGTCTGTGGCGGTGTTTGTGGCGGTGATGTGGCGGTGTCTGTGGCGGTGATGTGGCGGTGATGTGGCGATGTTTGTGGCGGTGTCTGTGGCGGTGTCTGTGGCGGTGTCTGTGGCGGTGTCTGTGGCGGTGTTTGTGGCGGTGTTTGTGGCGGTGTTTGTGGCGATGTCTGTGGCGGTGTCTGTGGCGGTGTTTGTGTGGCGGTGATGTGGCGGTGTCTGTGGAGGTGATGTGGCGATGTTTGTGGCGGTGTTTGTGGCGGTGTCTGTGGCGGTGTCTATGGCGGTGTTTGTGGCGGTGTCTGTGGCGGTGTCTGTGGCGGTGTTTGTGGCGGTGATGTGGCGGTGTTTGTGGCGGTGATGTGGCGTGTCTGTGGCGGTGTTTGTGGCGGTGTCTGTGGCAATGTCTGTGGCGGTGTTTGTGGCGGTGTCTGTGGCGATGTCTGTGGCGGTGTCTGTGGCGTGTCTGTGGCGGTGATGTGGCGGTGTTTGTGGCGGTGTCTGTGGCGGTGTCTGTGGCGGTGTCTGTGGCGGTGTCTGTGGCGGTGTTTGTGGCGGTGATGTGGCGGTGTCTGTGGCGGTGATGTGGCGGTGTCTGTGGCGGTGTTTGTGGCGGTGTTTGTGGCGGTGTCTGTGGCGGTGTTTGTGGCGGTGATGTGGCGATGTTTGTGGCGGTGTCTGTGGCGGTGTCTGTGGCGGTGTCTGTGGCGGTGTCTGTGGCGGTGATGTGGCGATGTTTGTGGCGGTGTCTGTGGCGGTGTCTGTGGCGGTGTCTGTGGCGGTGTTTGTGGCGGTGTCTGTGGCAATGTCTGTGGCCTTGTTTGTGGCGGTGTCTGTGGCGATGTCTATGGCGGTGTCTGTGGCGGTGTCTGTGGCGGTGATGTGGCGGTGTTTGTGGCGGTGTCTGTGGCGGTGTCTGTGGCGGTGTTTGTAGCGGTGTCTGTGGCGGTGTCTGTGGCGGTGTCTGTGGCGGTGTCTGTGGCGGTGTCTGTGGCGGTGAAGACAAACGCCGGTGGTTGATTTGTGGATCTGGGAGCGTGTCTGATGGTTTGACACGGCTTTAGAAGAACGCACCGGCCCCATTAAAGGAGAGGGGAATGTGTCACTATGGAAACAGGGGCCGACGGCGGCGTGTGGCGAGCGGAGGGAACGAAGGCGTGTCTGTGGTCCAGCCTCGAGGCCAGACGCAAAGTTGTCTATTTTGAGATTTCAGACATTTTTTCATATAATACATGATGTTGGTTTTAAAAGATTACAACACGATCAGAAGTGAGACCTGATTGGCTGAGTGAGGGGAGGCCTCTTTGTTTCTCTTCTCTGTCAGAAAAAAGGCCACATCTGCAGGAGAAAGCCAGATCCTAACCTAATCCTGAAGCTAAGCAGGTCAGGGCCTGGTTAGTACTGTGATGGGAAACTTCTGGGAACATCAGGTGCCACAGAGCCAAACCGTGGTTGTGTTCTTAGGCAAGACACGTCACCCACATTAGAATGAGTCTGGTGTGTGTGCGAGTGGTTGGTGGTGGTGGGAGGGGCTGATGGCGCAGACTGGTTGCCTTGCTTCTGTCAGTGTGCCCCAGGGCAGCTGTGGCTACAGTAGTAATTTATCACCATCATGAATGAAGTGAATATTTATCAATAATATTATTATTAGCATATTTTAGAAAAGAGACCCTGAGGTAACCCATGCAGGCAGAGGCAACTTTAGTAACTGAGCAACCTCCTCCAACCTCCTCCTACAACTCATCCTCCCCCCTCCTTTTCCTCCTTCTCCTCCTTTTGCAGATCCATCCACACCTCCTCCCTCATCTTCCTCCTCTTCCTCTTGCAGATCCATCCACACCTCCTCCCTCATCTTCCTCCTCTTCCTCTTGCAGATCCATCCACACCTCCTCCTAATTTTCTTCCTCCTCCTCCTCTTCCTCTAGCAGATCCATCCACACCTCCTCCTCCTCCTCTTCCTCCTCTTCCTCCTCTTCCTCTAGCAGATCCTTCCACACCTCCTCCTCATCCTCTTCCTCCTCCTCTTGAAGATCCTTCTCCTCCTTATTCCTTTCCTCCTCTTCCTCTTGCAGATCCATCCACACCTCCTCCTAATTTTCTTCCTCCTCCTCCTCTTCCTCTAGCAGATCCATCCACACCTCCTCCTCCTCCTCTTCCTCCTCTTCCTCCTCTTCCTCTTGCAGATCCTTTCACACCTCCTCCTCATCCTCTTTCCCGTCCTCTTGCAGATCCTTCCACACCTCCTCCTCATCCTCTTCCTCGTCCTCTTGCAGATCCTTCTCCTCCTTATTCCTTTCCTCCTCTTCCTCTTGCAGATCCTTCCACCCCCCCCCCCCCTCCTCCTCCTCTTCCTCTTGCAGATCCCACCACACCTTCCCCTCCTCCTCCTCCTCCTTCTCTTCCTCCTCCTCTTCCTCTATCAGATCGCACCACACCTCCCCCTCCTCCTCCTCCTTCTCTTCCTCCTCCTCTTCCTCTAGAGCAGATCCTTCCACACCTCCTCCTCCTCCTCCTTGTCCTCCTCCTCCTCCTCCTCCTCCTCCTCCACACCTCTGGCCCCTGAGGTAAAATCCTCTGTATCTGTGCTCGCCTGCAGGAGAAGCGTGTTTAATAATGCATGCTGCTGGACATCGCTGCTAATCCCATCCATCCAGACGTCCTCCGCTCAGACGTGGGTTTGTCCGATCCATGGGCGCGTTACTCTATAATGTGTCCAATATGTATGCAACTGTTGTGGGAGGAAGAGCAGGCAATCATTACGTACGAGGAGATGAGGCGTGGTGTACGGAAGGACTGTAGCACGATGAATTTGACAGAATCTCAAGGAAATATTACGCAATCTCTTTGGGCGTTAAAACTGATAAAAGGACTTATGTTTCAGAATGTGACATCACTTCTGTGGGAGATAATATGTAGAGAAACAAGTGTGAAGGAAAAATAGTGCTTATTGTGCCAGTAACTGTGATACCAATGGGCACACACACACACACACACAAAGATAGACACACACACAGACACACACACACACACAGACACACACACACACACACACACATACAAACAGACACATGCACCAACGGACACACACAGATAGATATACGCACAGACAGACAGAGAGACAGACAGATAGACCAATACACGTGCACACACTCACACACACACACACACACACACACAAAACGACAGACACAGAAACACACACACACGCACAAACACGCTCTCTGTCTTTCTCTGGTTTTGTTTCTAATTCTCGGCTTCTGCCTCCGACATGAAAAGAGATTCTAAAGTGTTCTACGTGCAATTTGAGGCAATCAAGTCCAAGCTTCTCCCTCCTCCTTCACAACATACACACATACACACACACACGCACACACACACACACACACACAGACACACACACACGCTGAATGCAGAAGGTCCATTTATGTTTGTATTGTCCATTGAATGAGCTGAAAAAGACTGACCTCCTGCTGGTCGAGATAGGATCCAAACACTCTGGTATCTTTGTGAATAAACAAAACAGCAAGTAATTAAGAAAACGCAATTATCACAGCCTCAGTCCTGGATCTACAGCCTCAGTCCTGGATCTACAGCCTCAGTCCTGGATCTACAGCCTCAGTCCTGGGTCTACAGCCTCAGTCCTGGATCTACAGCCTCAGTCCTGGATCTACAGCCTCAGTCCTGGATCTACAGCCTCAGTCCTGGATCTACAGCCTCAGTCCTGGGTCTAATGCCTCAGTCCTGGATCAACAGCCTCAGTCCTGGATCTACAGCCTCAGTCCTGGATCTACAGCCTCAGTCCTGGGTCTAAAGCCTCAGTCCTGGATCTACAGCTTCAGTCCTGGGTCTACAGCCTCAGTCCTGGATCTACAGCCTCAGTCCTGGGTCTACAGCCTCAGTCCTGGATCTACAGCCTCAGTCCTGGGTCTACAGCCTCAGTCCTGGATCTACAGCCTCAATCCTGGGTCTACAGCCTCAGCCCTGGATCCCTCTCTCAATGTGGGCCTTTCCAATGTTTCACTTTTTTTCCCCCACTGGGTTTTTGAGTCGTTCTTTGCCAAAGCAGAATACACATTTATTAACATTTATGGACAGTGGTCGTACTGCTTCCAATGGACCAATGGCTCCTACGTGTTTCGGACTGTTTGATTCTCTGATCTATTATTGGCAAATCCACAACTTAAGTCCACTAAGACGCCTGCTGATGTGATTTAGGGCTGTCTACAAACACATAACACAGAATAACTAAAATAGTACCATAGCATCCAGGTTTACTCTAGTCTACAGACTTCCTCCTGGTTTAACCCATGTTTATTTTCCTATAATTTAGTCTTTTTTGAGAGTACATACATTTGAAAACCACACAATATCTCATAAATCCTCTAAAACTCTCATTCAGTTCGTTCTCACTTCTCTTTCCCATTAATGCACATTGACAATTCCATATTATCGTCTGAAAAGTACATTATCTGCAGAAATCTCACTATAGCGGCCGTGTGTGTGTGTGTGCGTGTGTGTGTATGTGTGTGTGTCTGTGTGTGTGTGTATATATATATATATGGACTGCATTCCACAACCCGCCTATACTCATCCCTCCGTTTCCATGACAGCCAAATTGGATGGTGCTTCCCCGTCTCTCTCCGCGATGCTGCTATCATCCAATTTGGCGCTGGCCCCGCTCATAAAGCCACTACACCTGGACTGAGCAAAGTTGTCCGGAAGATTTATGTCTCTCCAAATCACATTCCTCTGGCCTCTGCCTCGCGGTCTGGCCCCGAGCGAGAAACGGAGCCGCGGGCTGCAATCTCGGGTTTTTCTTTTAACAATTTCTATTTACCGTAATGAGAGATGGCCCACCTGCTCGAGTCTGTGCCGTTGTCTGGGCTGTGGGGCTAATGACGCCGCCTTTAAAGCTGGGGGACCTGACTTTTTTAAACGTAAATAAACCGTGTTGATTTTTTTTCCCGAAAGGTGAAAAATCAGCGACAGAACATGTTTCCTCGTATTAGAAAGAGCCCTGTGAGTCACTATTGGACTCTGAGGGGGTGAGAGCTGATTGGCCGAGAGAGGGTGGTCCTCTCTGTGTCTAGTCAACTCTACTCTACTCTACTCTAGTCTCTCTCTGGCCAGTCACTGTCAGTTGAAACACTTTAGCACCAGCTCGGCCTGGATAAAACCAGGACCAGTGGAAACACTAATCAATAAATAAATAAAAAACCTCAAGGACTTGTATGTGTTCTGTCTGTACGTTATTTCTTTATTATTGTATTTATTTTACTTTTGATTTTTGTTTTTGTTTTTTTGTCTTTTGTCTCACCTGTTTACCATGCATCAATACCATCTGCAAGCTTGTGTATTTTGTTTTTCTATTGCCTGGTAAGTGGGTGTTTGTGATTGTGGTATGCTCTTGTGGACTCAGCATCTGCAGGAGGATCAGTGAGGGGCTGGTGCTCTGACTGCCACGCCCGACCCAGAAATGGATCAAGGGGAAGAAAATGGATGGATGGTTATGTTGTGTGTTGTATATTTTGTTTGTACATATTGTGAATGTATATTGGGTGACTGTGTTGTCTAAAATAAAAAAATAAAAAAAATAAAATGATGTATAAAAAATGACTCCAACATTCACACACTCGTACACACTGGTGACTGACTCATGCTTTTACATAAGTCAATAGGAGCCGGAGGGAGTTGGAGCTTAAACTTGTTCATGAGCACTTCCCTGTCGGGCTTCATTGAGCTAGTGGGTTACTGTATACATACTTATTATACGGCTCCTCACAGCAGCAGTAGAATGCTCCATTGATTTGAATATAATTTCAAAACGTTCTACCGGTCATTATTTTCTATAACGGACCTCTCAAAACAATAATGACCGCTGCCCATGGCAACGCACTCTCTGCTTGTATTTCAAATGCGTGGATAACTCCGCAAGTAGTTCCGGCCACTCCTGAGCTAGCCACGCTCAATCAACACACTTAAATGTTAATCGGAGAATACTTATACATATACATTCTTCACACACGTGCACGGAAATTTTCAGAATTTTCTGGTCTTGTCTTCATGACAAAAATACTATTTATCTGCGTCAACAAGCGATCGTGAAAAACCCGGAAGTAGTTCCGGCCGCTCAATAAAGGCAAATGCCAATCAATCAATGCAATGAAATGTTAATCGGAGAGTGAATTATACATATCCAGTCTTAATACAAGTGCACAGAAGTTTTCAGAATTTTCCGTTTACGTTTTCATGACAAAAACACTGATGTTATGCGAGAAAAGGCGATCCCGAAAAATCCGGAAGTAGATACCGGCACATTTTAAGAGACCGGCACATTTTTGGACACATTTGCAAAGGATCGAATTATGGATTTAGGTTAGGTTTATGTATGGGTCACTCACCGCTGATGTTCAGAATTCTTTGTTCAGTTTTCATGCAGTTCCAGAGAGTTCTAGTTTGGAAGTTGATAGCCTAACTGTTGCTAGCATAGCCACGGGAAAGCCTTTGGGAACTATTTTATTTTCTGTCATTAAATAAACCTTTCGGCATTCCTAAAAGTGGACTGAAGTTTATGTTGTGTGTTCTGTTGGTATAAAGCCGTATAATAAGCGGGATAACGTATATTACGCAGGTCATTATCGGAAAATGTTTTCGACATACTGTATATCTACAACAGAAAACGTCCCCTTTAATCTGAGACACCAGTCGCTGCTTCGGCCCAGATCAAAGACATTCTCCCAAATTCAGGAGACTTTTACTCATTTTTTGTCACTTTTTTTGCGATTTGATAATTGTGACCATAAAAATAGTGCCAGATGTGAGTGTGTGTGTGTGTGTGTGTCTGTGTGAGAGTTTGTCAGTGTGAGTGTGTGTGTCTGTGTGAGTGTGTGTGTCAGTGTGAGTGTGTGTGTCTGTGTGTGTGTGCGTCTGAGTGTGTGTGTGAGTGTGTGTGTCTGTGTGTGTGAGTGTGCGTGTGAGTGTGTGTGTCGGTGTGTGTTCTGTGAGTGCGTGTGTGTGAGTGTGTGTCTATGTGAGAGTTTGTCAGTGTGAGTGTTTTGGTGTGAGTGTGTGTGTCTGTGTTTGAGTGTGTGTGTGAGTGTGTGTGTGTCTGTGTGTGTGAGTGTGCGTGTGAGTGTGAGTGTGTGTGTGTGCGTGTGAGTGTGTGTGTCGGTGTGTGTTCTGTGAGTGTGTGCACTTGTTTTCAACTCCTGGTGGGTTCCATAACCTGAGATTCCACTCACGTCATGGGGACTGGTTTTACGTGGTGGGGCCCGAACACCGGACCCCACTGGTCCAAGCTTAATAATCAATAACGGTCCTTATGCAGTCTCTGTAAAAATATGGAAAGGACCCCTGGAGGTTTACTTTCCTGAAAAAAGTGTGTTATGTGTCGGAACCCTGGTGGTGGGTTGCGGGATATCAAGGAGGGGCACACTGGGGCAATTTCAGTCCAGCAGGCTGGAGCCAATCATGGAGCAGCACAACAGAGGAAATCAGGTGTCAGGCTAGAAAAAGGTGCAAGTGTGTGGTTCATTAGGCTGCAAGAAATCATGGAGGAGCACACTGAAGCGCACGCTTACAAACCACTGGTAAGTGCTGACTACAAGTCATGACTTCAAATTGTTATATAGAATGATTACAAATTATTTGTTGTTTGTGCAGCTTAGTCAAGAGTCCCTAATTGATGAAGTCGACTCAGATTCTGACGATTTAACTGTCAAGAAGAAACCTGTAAAAAAGTATGGAAAAAGAAAAATCAAAAACACTTTTCTTCAAGACTCGGAAAGTGACGAACCAAAGGCAAATAAGATTGTTATCATGCAGCTGCAAAAGAAGAAAAATGGGGGGCGAGTTTACAGCAAGAGACACTTCTGCCTCTACTGTTCAATGTCCTGCCACAAAATGTCCCGTCATTTGACTAGAAAACATGGAAATGAAAGTGACGTAGCCAGAGCATTGGCTCTACCTGTGAAATCTAAAGCACGTAAACTTCAGTTTGATTTGATCAGGAATAGTGGAAACCGTGAGCACAATTTTGAGGTTTTAAAGGCCGGCATTGGAACTTTAGTCCCAGCTAAACAGCCAAATTCCCCAGTTAAATCCAGTGAGTTTTTGCACTGTATAGACTGTGGGGCATTGCTTAAGCGAAAGTCGCTGTGGAGGCATGTGGCCATGTGCCGGCTTTCACAGAAAGATGCCCAGGCTAAACCAGGTAGAAGTAGGGTCCAGTCCCTCTGCTCCCTAGCCCAGCCTGTACCGGAGGGCATCAGCAAAAAGCTGTGGTCTTTAATTTCGGCAATGCATCAGGATGAGGTCACGGGTGTTGTCAAAGCAGAAAAGGGGATTCTGAGACTCGGAGAGCACCTGTACTTAAAACACGGGCATGATAAGACTAAGCATGATTACATTAGGCAGAAAATGAGAGAAGTCGGTAGGTTAATTAACGAAGCAAAAACCGCAGGGAAACTGAAAACAATTAAGGATTTCTTTATTCCTTCCAACTTTAACCATGTGATTGATGCAGTCAGGTCTGTGGCTGGATATGATGAGGAAACAAATCAATACAAGACTCCATCCTTGGCCCTCGAACTCGGCCATAGCCTCAGAAAGCTAGCAGATATTCTTGAATGTGACTCAAAAATGGAGCATTGTGTTGATGAACTATTTATTAAAAACCTCCAACGAAGCCGGCTGCTTTTTGAGAAGAGGTGGGACGTCTGTGTTTCTTCTGCTGCCCTACAGACCCTCCGGCAAGCCAAGTGGAACACTCCGGACCTGCTCCCTCTGACTGAGGACGTTAGAGCCATGCATGCACATATTGAGGTATGTCGACCTGAATATGTGCAAACCCTAATAAGTGAGCCAACCTCTAAGCATTGGTCTAAACTGGCAGTTTTGACTCTTTGTGAGGTCATCATTTTCAATCGAAGAAGGGAAGGTGAGGTTTCAAAGATGCCACTGACAGCCTTTACCTTAAGAAGTAAGACTGGGATCCATTCTGACATTGCTCTGGGACTGTCCCAACTTGAGAAAAAGCTGTGTCAGCATTTTCAACGCATTGAAATTAAAGGGAAAAGAAGTCGGAAAGTGCCGGTTCTTTTGACTCCTGAAATGATTGCTTCGATGGAGGTGCTGGTGGAGAACAGAAGGGCCTGTTCCATCTCTGACCATAACCCATACTTCTTTTCCCGCCCGGGCGCAGACACCCACATCAGGGGATCAGACTCCCTACGCCAGGTAGCCAAAGAATGTGGTGCGGTGCATCCAGAGATGCTATCCTCAACCAAACTTAGAAAGCACATAGCTACTATGTCTACAGTTCTCAATATGAAAGAGAATGAGATGGACATACTTGCCAACTTCCTCGGCCATGACATTCGCATCCACAGGCAATATTACAGACTACCAGAGGGGACACTGGAGCTGGCCAAAATCAGCAAAGTGTTGATGGCCATGGAGCAGGGAAGAGTGATGGAATTCGAAGGAAAGAGCCTCGACCAGATACAAATTGAGCCTGAAGGTAATTCTTGATATTATTAAAATATGTATGATTTTTTTCCCCTAAAGGCCACTTGTATTTTTATTTTCTGTGCGACAGGGAGAGCAGTAGAGATCCTCTCACAAACGGACGGGCTAAAAGAAACTTCAAGCGGAGAACCTTCAACCATTCATCCAGATGCACCCCATGGTAGTGGCAGTGCCCCTTCTGGTAAGTGTACCAGGTGGGGGATTACAGCCAGGCTGCTTGGTCCTAACCCTGGGAGTGTATATTGCTAATATATTTTTATTTCTCTCCCTAGAACGTGTAAGAAAGCCATGGTCTGCATCTGAGGTGAAGGCTGTGGAGAAGACCATGACACCTTTCATACAGACTGGAAAGGTCCCTGGGAAGTCTCACTGCCTGGCCTGCATTAATGCCTCACCAGATGACCTTAGACATCGGACATGGAGTGGCATTAAATTCTATGTCAAAAATAGAATCACTGCAATTCGAAAACAAAATCTAAAATAAAATTCCTTTAAAATAGTTGTTTGGTTTCTATTGACTGTTTTGTATTACTTAAAGTAGTCCCAGTAAAAAAGATCATGTCTATGGGTCCCATTCTGAACGGCCCTGTCAAAGGGACCCACCAGGTAACAAAAACGTGTATGTGTGTGTGTGTGAGTGTGTGTCTGTGTGAGAGTTTGTCAGTGTGAGTGTTTTGGTGTGAGTGTGTGTGAGTGAGTGTGTGTGTGAGTGTGTATGTTCTGTGAGTGTGTATGTCTGTGTGCGTGTGTGTCAGTGTGAGTGTGTGTTTCTGTGTGAGTGTGTGTGTCTGTGTGAGTGTCAGTGTGAGTGTGTGTCAGTGTGTGTGAGAGTGTGTCTGTGTGCGTGTGTGTGTGTCTGTGTGTGTGTGCGTGTGTGTCGTTGGAGGGACACTTGTAAATGATGTCTTTGATCAGGTGACTTCATTATACGGCCGCTTTAAACAACAAAGAGAGACTGCATATGGATCCACACATGCACAGAATACAGACCTCCATCTCTCTCCCCTCCTCCTCCCTTCTCCTCCTCCTCCCCTCCCCCCTTCTCCTCCGGCGCCCCTCCCCCCCCTCCTCCTCCCCCTTCCCACCTCCACATACGCTGAGGAGGACTAGCTAATGCTTTCACAACGTCCTCTGGAACTGGTTCTGGAGATGCAAGACCAAGGCAAAGACATTTCCACCAGCCCTATCCAGCCCTATTTGGCTCTCCTCTGCTCAATGGAAATTCCTTGGTAACCATGGCTTTCAGCAGCACTCTGACCAGTCTCTGTTAGAACACTTTAGTCCCTCTTGGCCCTAGTTCTATCCAGGCCAAGATGGTCTAAAGAAGGACCTGGTACTGGTTAGACAGGACCAGTGGAAACACTCTCAATCGGGTAAAGTCGGGTTTTCTCCTTCTCCTCCTCCTTCTCCTCCTTTTCCTTTTCCACCTTCATCTCCCTCTCCTCCTCCTCCTCCTCCTCCACCTTCTTCTTCTCTCCTTTCTCCTCCTCCACCTTCTCCTTCTTCTTCTCTCATTCCTCCTTCTCCACCTTCTCCTCCTTCTTCTCCCTCTCCTCCTCCTCCACCTTCTCCTTCTACTTCTCTCCTTCCTCCTCCTCCACCTTCTCCTCCTTCTTCTTTCCTTCCTCCTCCTCCACCTTCTCCTCCTTCTTCTCCCTCTCCTCCTCCTTCACCTTCTCCTCCTTCTTCTCCCTCTCCTCCTCCTTCACCTTCTCCTCCTTCTTCTCCCTCTCCTCCTCCTTCACCTTCTCCTCCGTCTTCTCCCTCTCCTCCTCCTCCACCTTCTCCTTATTCTTCTCCCTCTCCTCCTTCCTCTCCCTCTCCTCCTTCCTCTCCCTCTCCTCCACCATCTCCTTATTCCTCTCCCTCTCCTCCTCCTCCACCTTCTCCTTCTCCTTCTGGTCTCTTCAGGTCTAAAACAGTGTTTTAAAACATGGACTATGAATTAGCATCAGACTGTGTGACACAATCAGTTTACTTTTATATGTAAGTCAATAGGAGCCAGAGCGAGACCTCGTCCATGAGCACTTCCCCATTGGGCTGCATTGAGCTAACGGGTTGTGTTCAGTCCCTGCCTCAGACTTCTTGTTTGTTTATCGTGACATTATCAGTGTGTGGAAATGCTCTATAATCATGAGCATAATGATGTGAATGAGGCTCCCAGGCTCCCACACCATTAGAGCTGGGCCCGGTACCAGAGAGAGGGGGAGGCGAGGGGGAGGCGAGGAGGAGGCGAGGGGGAGGCGAGGAGGAGGCGAGGGGGAGGCGAGGGGGAGGCGAGGGGGGAGGTTTGTGGAGGTCCATCGCTCTCAGCGTCAAAGCAGCGAGGCCAATTATCAAGCCACTCATTTGTTCATTGTTTACATAGACAGGCTCAAACTGGTGTCACCAGGACTCATGGTATACGGCCTCACAAGGACAGGATTTAGACCTGATATAGTCCAGGACTAAAGAAGGTCTAAGGCAGGACTAAAGCTGGACCAAGGCTGGACTAAAGTAGGACTCAAGCTGGTCTAAAGCAGGACTAAAGCAGGTCTAAAGCTGGTCTAAAGCAGGACTAAAGCAGGACTGAAGCTGGTCTAAAGCAGGACTAAAGCAGGACTAAAGCTGGACTATAGTTGGACTATAGTTGGACTAAAGCAGACTTCTGTTCATAGAGCTCTGTGTGAGAATCTGAATGATCGACTCGAGCCTAAAACCATGTGTCACGTTTCATTACAGTCCATCATTTTGAAAATCTCTGCGAGCATCGATCCCACTCCACTCCTCTCCCCTTCACTCCCCCAATCTCTCTCCCCTTCACTCCCCCTATTTCTCCCCTCGCTCTCTCCTCTCTCCCTTCTCTCTTCCCTCTCCCCAACACACCCCTCTCTCTTCTCAATCTCGCTCTCTCTTCCCTCTGTCCTCTCTCTCCTCTTTCTCCTCTCTCCCCTCTTTCCCTCTCTCCTCTCTCCCCTATCTCTTCTCCTCTCTCTCTCCCCTCTCTCCCCTCTCTCCCCCTCTCTCCCCCTCTCTCCCTTCTCTCCTCTCTCCTTTCTCTCTCTCTCCTCTCTCTTTCTTTCCGCTCTCTCTTCTCTCTCCCCTCTCTCCTCTCTCGCCTCTCTACCTAATATTGTTTCTCCCGTCTCTCCTCTCTCTCTCCCCTCTCTCTCTCCCCTCTCTCTCTCCCCTCTATCTCCCCCTCTCTCTCCTTTCTCTCCTCTCTCTCCCTCGCTCCCCCCTCTCTCCCCCTCTCTCCCCAACACACCCCCTCCTCTCCCCTCTGTCTCTCTCTCTCTCCCCTCTCGCCCCTCTCTCCCCTCTCTCCCTTTCTCTCCCCCTCTCTCCCACATCTCGACAGCTTCATTATGAGTGTGGTCGGTGTCAGACCAGAATCGGGGGAAGGGCCAAAACAACAACACGTCTGTGATAAAGCTGACATTTAGAAGCAGAGCGACTCCAGAGTCTCCTTTAATTACTTTCTCTTCGTCTGCGTCTCTCTGCGTTTGGAGAAGTGGACTGATGTGACGGACACTTCAGATGTGTGTGTGTGTGTGTGTGTGTGTGTGTGTGTGTCTGTGTGTGTATATGTGTGTGTGCTTGTGTGTGCATGTATTTGTGTGTTTGCATGTGTCTGTGTGTGTATGTTTGTGTGTGTGTAAATGTGTGTATATTCTGTTTGTCCGTATGTGTGTGTTTGTGTGCTTATGTGTGTGTTTGTATGTCTCTGCGTCTGTGCTTGTAAGTGTGTGCTTGTGTGCGTGTGGGTATTTGTGTTTGTCTGTGTGCACGCTTATGTCTGTGTGTATATATATGCTCGTGTGTGTATGTCTCAGTGTATATGTGTGTATGTCTCTGTGTCTGTGTGTGTGGGTACAGTATGTGCTCGTGTGTGTTTGCTTGTGTGACTTTCTGTGAGTACAGTATATGTCTGTGTCTCTGTGTGTGGGTATTTCTGTTTATGTGTGTGCGTGTGTGTGTGTGTGTGTGTGTATGTTTGTGTATGTATGTATGTGTGTGTCTGTGTGTGTGTGTCTGTGTGTACGTGTATGTATTTGTGTGTTTTATCTGTGTGTGTGTGTGTGTTTATACGTGTGTGTATATGTCTCTGCGTCTGTGCATGTAAGTGTGTGCTTGTGTGTGCGTGTACGTATTTGTGTGTCTCTGTGTGCACGCTTGTGTCTGTGTGTGTGTGTATGTCTCAGTGTGTATATGTGTGTATATGTCTCTGTGTCTTTGTGTGTGTGTTTCTGTGTGCCTCTGCGTGTGCCTGTGTATGTGTATGTCTGTATGTGTGTGTCTGTGTGTGCGTGTGTATGTGTGTGTGTGTGTGTGTATGTCTGTGTGTGTGTGTCTGTGTGTGCGTGTGTGTTAACAGCCTAAACTTGAGACAAACGCTGCCTTTCTGAAACATTTCAAACTAAGATCTGATTAAACTCTCAATTACAAAAGTTGTGTTGATGGGAGATGATTAATGGCCCCTCCCCCTCCCTCCCTCCCTCCCTCTCTCCTTCCCCCGTCCCCCCTCCTGCGACCAAATTACAACGTCCTGTTTTTTTATCATTATTTTTTACAATCTCGAGACTTTTGACGAGGTAAATAAGACAAGGAGATATAGGGTCGTTAAAGAGGCCATTTATAATATTTGACAGAGATGGAACGAGGCGATGGAGAGCGGAGGAGAAGAGCGTAACCAAGGGCAACACTTTCTTTACACTCTCTACTTTACTTCACTTTCTGTCAGACAAACAAAAAACTTAATCCCCAATCTCCCTTCGAATGATCGTGATCCAAAGTCAGCCGGGTCTTTCTCATTAAGTCACATTCTGAGATTAAACCGGAACAGTTTGAACCCAAAAACTCGCAAAAAAACTCAAAATAAATTGGAGAAAAAGTGGTGTTGGTTTTAGTCGTGTTCCTTCTGTTCCACTGAGCTTTAAAACAGGTCCTGAGTCTGATTTTAAAGTAAAGCCTCAGCTATGAAAGAGGAAATGGTGGAATATTTGGTGATTTTCAGAGATTGTACAGGAGATGGACAGTGGAAAGTCCCCATAGCTCTATGAAGCCCAACAGGGAAGTGCTCACTGATGAAGTTTGTCTCCAACTGACTGTGTACTTCACTATTTTATGTTTTAAATTGTTGTCAAAAACAGACCAAAGTAACAAAGGTTACCATCAGTAACACACTACGACGACAGGGAATCAAATCCTGCAGTGCCAGACGTGTCCCCCTGCTGAAGCCAGTGCATGTCCAGGCCCGTCTGAAGTTTGCCAGAGAGCACATGGATGATACAGCAGAGGATTGGGAGAATGTCATGTGGTCATATTAAACCAAAGTAGAACTGTTTGGTATAAACTCAACTCGTCGTGTTTGGAGAAAGAGTTGCATCCCAAGAACACCATACCTACTGTGAAGCATGGGGGTGGAAACGTCATGCTTTGGGGCTGTTGTTCTGCTAAGGGGACAGGACGACTGATCCGTGCTAAGGAAAGAATGAATGGGGCCATGTATTGGGAGATTTTGAGCCAAAACCTCCTTCCATTAGAGAGAGCTTTGAGGATGAAACTGGATGTAGCTGGATCTTCCAGCATGACAATGATCCCAAACACACCGCCCGGGCAACGGTGGAGTGGCTCCGTAAGAAGCATTTGAAAGTCCTGGAGTGGCCTAGCCAGTCTCCAGACCTCAAACCCAAAGAAAATCTGTGGAGGGAGTTGAAAGTCCGTGTTCACTGCTCACAAGAAGATCTGCATGGAGGAATGGGCCAAAATACCAGCTACTGTGTGTGCAAACCTGGTAAAGACCCATAGTAATCGTCGGACCTCTTTTATTGCCAACAAAGGTTATATTACAAAGTATTGAGTTGAATTTTTGTTATTGACCACATACTTATTTTCCACCATAAATTACAAATAAATTCTTTACAAATAAAAATTTAAAAATGTGAATTTCTGGTTTTTTATTTCACATTCTGTCTCTCACAGTTGAAGTGTACCTATGATGAAAATTACAGACCTCTGTCATTATTTTAAGTGGGAGAACTGCACAATCGGTGGCTGACTAAATACTTTTTTGCCCCACTGTACACCAGACTCGTTCTAATGTGGGTGGAGTGTCTTGCAATGAACAGCCGCCCAACTGTGGCACATGGTGTTCCCACTGCGTCTCCCATCACAGTACTAACCAGGCCCTGCCCTGCTTAGCAGCAGAGGTTTGACGGGATCTGTCTATCACATTCAGATATATGGCCACCACAGATCGGAGCATACATCTAGGCTCAGGAGACCAGAGATCACAGGTACAGGTCCAGGTTTAGAGGTACCATCACCACACCATAACACAGGCAGCAGGGACAGCAGGTGAATAGCAATGAACAGACTACAGTTGGAGTCCTGATGATGAGGACAGAGCTCAAGTTCACTACATCTCACTTTTACAAAACTCTTTCTTATCTGTCTTTCTACAAACAACATGTGGTGTATTATTGATGGAAACAGTAAAGTCAGGTACCCCAGCTTTAGGTCAGAGAGCCGCGCGCGTAACTTGGTATGCAGCGGGCCCCGAGCGCTCCGGGCCCCGCCACATGTGTGAGTGGCAGCCGCGCGTTGGCACCGGCCCCTGCGCTTTCATCCAGGCCCCGCACGCAAGAGCCGCTTAATCAAAGTCCCGCATTTCCATTATTCATGTGGCCCCATCTGCTCGCCACCGCCTCCCGGGGCCCGCGCCCGGTAAACACATGCAGGAGCGGAGCCAGGGGCCGATCTAACGACACAAACACACAGGGGTCCGGAGGGAGAGAGGGAGAGAGGTAGAGAGAGAGGGAGAGAGGGAGAGAGAGAGGGAGAGAGGGAGAGAGAGGGAGAGGGACCCGCGGCTCCTTAAGCACCAGAGACTCCAAGAACCCACAAGTGTTCGACGTGGTACTGAAAGAACTGGGGGTGAGTCACTGAACTGTGGAGAAACCAGAGAAAGAGAGAATAGAGCGAGACGAGAGAGAGAGATAAGAGAGAGAGGATAGAGAGATGTTCAAGGGTAGAGACCAAATAAAGGGACTATAGAGAGAACAAAGAGAGAGAGACCTGGAAGCAACCAGAGAGAGACCTGTGAGACTAGAGTGACAGCAGAGAGAGAGATACCCGATACAGAGAGACCAGGGAGAGACCAGGGGGAGAAAGATTGCAAAAACAGACAAGAGAGAGACCAAAGAAAGAGACCAGAGAGAGAGACTGGAGACAGAGATCAGAAAGAGACCAGAGAAAGACCAGGGGGAGGAACTAGAGAGAGACCAGAGAGAGAGGCCAGAGAGAGTGACCATAGAGAGAGA